ATTCACAGAGGTCCCTTCGGCATTTCTTGAGACTTCGTCCTTCTTCGGCTGCTTCCAGTATCTTGGCTTGCCCGTACTTCCTGAGATCCTCCTGCAAAGCTGTTCTGCAACTGCCGTTGCCTATCAGTCGCTCGAGTTGCATTCGGATCCTGCCTCAGAAATCTTCTTCTTTCGAGCAATTCCTTGGTGGTATTCGAAATGCGTTCCAAGTTCTTCTCAGAAGTCACTGAGGCGCACTCTCCGCAGTGCTCACAATCCTTTCAAAAGCCGGTCGTAGTCGTACGTTGGGTCCTTCTCGATGGGCCAGTCACAACTTGATATGAGCTATTCCAGCCTGTTAAAGTCATAAACGACTTCCTTCCATCTCGCGGCACAGTAACAGACTTCCTCTTCCAGCCTTTGGCTGAGTCGTATCTTCGCTCGAAGGAGGCGGTGATCGGAGCTACTGCAGAAGGATGGAACTACTGAGACATCGAGCAAGCTTCACCTTCGGTTGGTGAGAATGTGGTCGCGTTCGTTCCGTTGAGCGATTCATGTCCAACGCGATGTTCTTTCTTCACGAAGATGGAATTTGCATGGAAGAGTAGTGCGGCGGAGACATGCCCAACGAAACTATTGCCGTTTTCGTTCCGGAGCCCTTATCCAAACTCCCCGATCCTATATTCCTTTTCTAGTGGCATCCCGATTTTCGCATTGAAGTCGCCCACAACATACTTGTAGAAGGACTTCTCGTTGCGGACGACGTGCTCCACGTGTTCATAGAAAGCATCTAGTTCTGATTAGTTAGCTGCTGATGTTGGTGAGTAGCAGTTGATGATGCTATGGTCTTCTGACGTGGAGGTTTCGTAGGATGGCTATTCGAGGTGACAGGATCTCATGCGAATCGACAAGATGGACGATAGATGGGTGGACGACAAAGCCAATGCCTTCCACGTTTCGTGATGGAACCTTCTCACCACGAATGATGAGCGTCCCATCATTCATCTGTCGCACGTCCTTCTTCCTGGACTTCGTTCCTACAGAGCGATGATGTGGTACTTAATGTGCTCTACAGCGTCGAGAAAAGCGTGGAGGTCGGCGTTTGTAGAGATTTGTAGAGACTGTCCTGGCGTTGTAGGTGCAGAGCATGAAGCAGTCTCCATGGCGCGTCGTCCGGATAGAGGTGTCGTTTTTGTCCAATCCAAAAGGCGCCTTAAGGACTCTAACATCGTTCTTGCTACCACCCGGCGCCGTAGGCGGGATCCGATGTGCAGGGTTTCCTTTCTATTCTTCTAACTGGGGGAGTAGTGAAAATTTTACCTCTACAAGAGCACACTACTAAACTTACTCTTGGTTTCCACGGGCGGGGCGATCGCTAACCCGGAGCCTGGAGAGGGGAGAGCCGCCTAGTGACCAGAAAACCAGACGGCGGTGCATCTGGCCTGGCCGGCCCTTAGCTATCCGGCCGAAACTGGAAACGTCCAACCCCTTCACAGCCTGATGAGGCCGGCGACCATTGTGGGGCTTTCCTTATCATCATACCTTCGATAGTCTAGAGACAGGGCGTCAAAAGTGAAGGTTGTTTGAACATCTGACGTCATAAATAGTGAAGGTTGTTTAAAGATGATCAGAGAAGAGAAAATGACGCAAAACAGATACAAAAAGCAAAAGAAACTGCTGAAAATAGGATAAAAACGCTGCAATGAGGCTTGAAATCTTTCATTTGGCGACTTTTCAAAGTGCAAGTTTTCGCTTCAGGACCAGCAATTCGCAACACGGGGTTTTGATTTTTGATGCGTCCTTTGAATTTTTACCCCCGCATTGACGTTCCTGTTTCCTGGGACGTTATCTGGATTGTTGCGCTTATTGTTCTGAGCAACAATCACCCAAGCTGGAAAAAAATCGATGCGAAGGCATTGAAACAGAACAAGGTAAAGAAAAACGCACTTTTTACGATTTTTCGCAAAAAAATCCACAATAATCGAAGAGGTGAAGCCTGGGTGGTTGTCTGCATTATGAACAGAAGCAAGATCTGTAGATTGCACGAAAAAATCGGGTAAAAAGAGGTAAACTAGAAGAAAAACAAGAGATTTTCGAAAACAAGGTTTTTGCCGGATTTCTCGTCCAAATTAAGGAATGTGATTTTGGGACGTTGTCAGCGTAAAAATATAGATCAAGAGCTTCCAAATGATATATAGCTTGCTAAAATTGGGTGCGAAACAGCGAAGAAAAGGGTACCAGAGCCAAATGCCCCGCGCCCCGCGTTTGGGGTAGCGAGGTAGCGCGCAGCGCGCGGAGACGCAGACGAGCAGCGGAGACAGACCAGAGCCGATGGGGCATTTGGCTCTGGTCGTAGATCTCCGCGGGGTCTCAACGAAACCCTGTAACATTATATATCATTCTGACCGTCATGACACGACGAGGAGAGCTGACAACGTCCCAAGCTTTAAAAGTCACTTACTAACGAGATAGACCAGCATTTTCGTGCGCGACTCTCTGTGCACAATTAAGCGCAGTTTCTCATTTTAATTCAACTCCAACAGCTTTCCAAACTTTTGAAACTCATTTTTGGTCAAGTGGGAGGCTAAATGAGGAACGTTGTCCTGAATTCTGAGGAAATTTTCACAGAAATTCTCTTTTCAGCGTAAAAAAGGCTTTAAAAAAGCAATTTCTCGGTTTCGCTGAGACATTCTTCAAACATTCTTTCCTATATTTGGTTCATTCACATTCTTCCGAAGTCAGGATCATAACATCCGGGGCTTCGCCCCGGATAACTTCTGTTTTTTCCCAGGTGAAGGTTGTGTCCCCTCATAGCCCTCAAAGTGAAGGTTACCGGAGTATGTGGCTCTATGTATCGAGGGTATGCTTATCATAAGAGGGATCAATTTCCAATGGGGGACAAGACTTCGAAGATTTGCTCTCTAGTAGAGGTAAACTTGTTATCTTTCAAGTTTTTTTTTTAGATACGCCCAAAAGTTACGTCCAAAAGCTCTATTAGTCATTCTCTTTTCTTTCTGTCTCAAGCGTCTCAGCTGATACGAAAGGTCTTTAGAGACAGTCTTATATTCAATGTCGTTCAAGAGCTCTCGGAGGCCAAAGAATAATCTCATTCTTCTGAGACATAGATTCTTTATATACTGGGGGTATAGTAGAAAAAAGGAGGATTTCTTCGTTAGAAGGAAACAAATCGAATCAATTCTTTATTTACATTCAGGAAACGGTCATAAAGATCGTCTACCCTACTATAATAACGCGCTAAGGCCGTCTGTTTTTTTTTGTGTGTGTCTGTGTGTCTGTGTGAAAATCTGTCTGTCACGAAGTTCATAGCGGAAGCTGCAACTAAGCTGTCGGGTTGCAGTTTTGCATACATACCGTGACAACGTGTAGGCCTACCATGCACAAGGGCGAGCCGGTCCGATAAGCAGTCCCTCAAAATTTGCGCGTCAAACGGGTCCACGCGCCTTTTGACACGCAAAACTGGGTTGCTAATTCGACTTTTTGCAAAGTTATGATTTGCCTTACAAGTAACTCTGCGCGCCATGGATTCTACCCCAAAAGTGCTCAAAAATTTTGCTTTTTTGCGAAAACGGCGCAAAAAAGTGATAAACGCGTAGATAGTCGATTTGGCAAGGTTTTATTTGAAAAAATTGAAAAGATTTTTGCATTGAAATGTAGCCCAAGGAGACTATTATCCTTATGACGATTATCGAAGTAAAATAAATTCAGTAATCCGTTCAAATTCGCATTTGCTCTCTTGCAACAAAATTTTTTTTTGCTCAAAATCACCGTTCTTACAAAGAGTTGCTTCATGAATGAACTTTTGTTAACGATTCATTTGTGACGCTCAGCATCGCGTGGTGAGTATCAAAGCCATTCTCATGCGACATGAGAAAGGCATACGGACAGGGAGCCAGTGCGAACCTCCGCAAAGCGTAGGTGACGCACTGGTGTCAGAAGAACTATCGAAAACGTTGAACCAGTTTGTACTGTTCAGGATGGCCTTGATGAATGCCTCATCTGCAATAGACTAGTCACGCGCAGACGAATATTAAGAAATATCGCTACGACCAGAGAAAATTAGGCTAATTCGAAAGAGAGAATGTTGTGATCAGCATTGTACAAGGGGGGATTATTTGAATCTTAGAAACCATCTCACTTGTGGCAAAAATCAAACCAATATAGATGAACCTCACATGGACTTTCTGACGAGTTTTTGGACATGTTCACTTTGACTGAGCGTCTTAGATTTGCTGAAGTTAACTGCTGAGAGCGAAAAGCGAGCTGAGCACGAGAGCGATGGCGCCTATGGGAACCTCGCTGGAGCACAGACAATTCACATTTTCTCTTTAGAGCAACTGCGAACACCCTACCTACTAGAACATGCGCGTTTATTGAACCTAAAATTATTTTGCTGCAACTAGCCTTCAAAGTACGATCTTGACCTTGGAGAGCGACGTTTTAAAGGAAATAGCTCGACAAATTCGCTTTTGGATTTTTTAGTATTTTTTACGCTTAGCCCGAGTCATGCTTTGCAGCAGCCATGGATGCGAACCGCTTTTTGTACTCCAAAAGCACTCACCTGTTTCCCGAAGGAGGCATATGTTTGGAATCAGTTTGAAATCGCTGGTTCCAACTGTGCTACTTCCGGTTGTTGCACATTTGTTTAAAGCGAGTATTGCCTTTTTTCGTGGACAATTTCGTGCTCTTCGACACTTTCACTAATCTGTGAATAAAACGATCAGAAAAGTAAGATCTCCATCAATCCATAATTCTATAATGCAGTCGCCGATATCAAGAATACTGACAACGCGGCGCTAATGCTGATGATGGTAATGTGGACTTATACGAATCGTAAAAGTGTAGCAACAGTCTTAATTGCTAAATTGGTAGCAAAAGACTGTGGAACCCCTTCTCACGGATACTTTTAAAATGAAATGTGTCCTGAAACAAGCGGTGATAAGGTTCATCACATATATAAAAGAAAGACACCTAATTCACATTCATCTTCACTCCGATGTACAATGAAGGTTGCATTTGCTATATTACTGTTGGCATGCCAGAGACTCAACGGCAACGTCGTGCGAAGAAAGGACGCGTTACAGGAAGAGGTCTATGCAACTTCAGAAAATGTCAAGAAGAAGACTGCTAATTCGTTGAATGAAACCAATTCTTCTCTCGAAACAATTACTGAAGATTCGCATATTGAGCGGATGAGCGGAGCGCGGAAAAATGGTACCGAATCTAAGGAACATGATGACGGTATCAATCATGCGAACCCTAACATTTCTCAGTTGATGCAACACGGCGAAATTATGAGGACCTCCATATTACAAGTGAAAAATCCTGAAGATGCTCACTATGAGAGCGAAGAGAAATTTGATTCTAGAATGGCAAGAGACACAGATGACGATGAAACCGGAGAGGACATTGATCCTGATAACGAGGATAATGACGATGGAGACAAAATTGGTTTCAAGCCAGCAGATCCGCGTGTAGTCAAGCCAGATAGGGTACCAATATCCGCGGAAATCAAAGAGGATACTGTCAAGCCTATCGATCTTCATGTGAGATTCATAATTCCCTCATTTCTTGAGTTCTGGTAATGTAACTGTTTAGATTTACGTCCACCTGAGTGGTTTGGGAAGAAACAATGTAAGTCGGAAGAAACAGGAAACACACTTGTTCAGAAACAATGAAGTGTATTACAGAGATTTGATTCGAGCCGTGGTTGGGAGCGGGAATCATGGAAGGTGATCGAATAGTTTTCTCTGCGCAGTTCACATCTAACTACATTGAAAAAGAGACAAGGAAATATGGTACTACTGCTATCATGGGCTTCATTTTTCAGAGATGACACTATTTTTGAAAAGCGACAAGAAAGAAGAAAGTTACAATAAACTCTTTCCGTGCACATTTTGATCCAAAATCACACTTGTTAGATGATGATTATGGTCACAGACTTTACTCGTTTCTATTATAAATGGTCAAGTCCCACCCATGTTGAGCAGTGGCTTCATGTCGAATTCACACTAGTGTGAACTAACTGGCTTGAGCATAACCAAGTTTCCTGACACGACTAAGGTAGCGGGTACAATCACATTACCTCCAAATGGATATGAATAATTGTGACTGGAAGTTTGTCACCGTGCCGCAATGCGGCAAATTTGAAGCTCACAGCTGGACTTGTGAGATCCGCATCCGAAGCAGTTAGAGGTGAGATCTGCATCCGAAGCAGTTAGAGCAATTACTTGAAATTTCACGGCAAGCATTCGTGCAATTTGGCAGAAATAGTTATGTAAAGCTTTTATAGAGAAAATGTGACCTATTTTAGTGACGAAGTGCCTTTACGAAATATAATACAGCTTGGTTTGGATGAGGCAGGACTCATCAGGGTACAAGATATACTCGCTCAGTTTTTCTAGCTTAATCTTATCGACTCTGCAGAGAGCCACATTCTCCTAAACTTTTCTTCTTAAAGGAGTGTTCCAGAATTTCGCTCTCTAGTTTTTTTATCTTTTCTGAACTTTCTCGCCATGTTGAACCCATGTTGGGCTTTGCAGCGCATAAAAATGACGAAAAAGAACCTTTTGTCGAGGCTTTGCAGTCGCTGAAACGTGTTAGTGGGCGGGGTATGGAAGAGTTCTGGAGTATATTTTAGGCTTTCCAGACGCGCTTTATCGCTCAGTGTTAAGTTATTTGGGGGAGGGGGGGGGGAGGGGGTCTGTCGTTGCAAGGCTGTAAACACTACTAATCATGGGACGCTACCTTTACTTGAGTATGTACTGTCCGCGCATTTTGCAATTCAACACCAACGGGACGATGCAATATATGTATCTTGTGCATTTCAAGCCACAGTGATAAAAACTATAGGAGCTATAAAAATACTGTAAGAGCTAAATAATACTATAAGAGCTAGTTAAGGCGATCTTTCTTTTGTGTCTAGGTAAAGTTTTCAATGCGTGTCTTTTCCAAAAATCGTACCGTAAATTTGAGACTTATGACATGCGGAATTTGGTTCATTCAAATCATGCGAACCTGCCTAAGTACTCTCCTTCTCAATTCTAATACAGAAGACAATTTAACTAGCACTAATTCGGTTCAAATCTTGTGTAAACGACTAGTGGGAGGCCGTTGATACCTAAATGCTATGACAGGGCAACCCAGCCAGTTCATGCCGCCCCGCGGGCTTACGGCCGTGGAACGATATCAACATTGCAAAAAAAAATCAGGCGCCCGCGAAGGCGGCTAAAAATGTCGGAGTTAGTACAGTCGAGTGAATTTTCCGCTTAATATAGTGTGCTTGCACTGTAGGTGAATGCTGGAAATTTTGCTAACTCCGCCATTTTGCGCGTAAAAAGTTAGCCACGCCAATAATGCCGGTATTCTGCGCGCACAAGTGAAAGGCGTCACAGGCGTAGCTACTTCACGCGCAAATTTTACCGCATTTTACCTACAGTGCAAACACACCATATTAAGTGGAAAATTCCACTTGACTATACCTCTATCCGCTACGACGGAATAACCATTATGACTCACGTCATTCAATAATTTCGTTGAATACCATCGAGGTGGTCGATGATCAAGCAATAGCGAACAGGTACATCATCTATCTGATCATACCAAAATGATCAAAATGTACCTCCGTCCGTCCTTTTCCTTTCAGCGCGTCTCGCAGGTCTCTAATAATAAGCATTATGTTATAGCGGGACTTCGTAAACTAACAAAGACCACTATTCACGCCTTCAAAGTCAGCGTCCCGTCAAAATCTTGAGCTGATGGTTTGACGCCCTAAGCTTTTCCATCCAGTTGATTCTTGTAGCTCTGCACTTGAAATCGCTTCATGGGTTTCTCTTTTACTCAATCGTAGGAAGAAGGTCGCTACCACCCAACAAAAGGAAGGAAGCCACAACCGGTCAACGAAAATAATGTTAATTTTATTGATACTTAGCTGATCAGCGCAACAGAACTTGGTCTATATAGCAACGTTGCATTTGTGTGCAGTTCCTACATTGTAGAGAAAAGCCGTTTTCTTTACTGACTAAGTGAAGCTTGTTTTTTTTATCCCCAAGTTCAACAGCTCATTTCCTAGAGATTTGTCATTATCGATATCTAATGCGCGCTATCAGCCCGACTCTTGGTCCGAGTGACCATCGATCTTCAATGATAGCATAAATCTGACACATAAGCTTTCCATTCACATCACTATCGTCTGCCTGTCCTTATCTTATTACTAAGCTCTTGCTTTCATATCATTTTTTTTCTGTTGGCAGCAATATTTCAAAATAGCTTACTCTGTAAAAGAGATCACTTCTACTGCTCTGTTAACCTTAAAAAAAATTGATACACACACTTCTTTACTATTTTGTTGTGCCTGGGAACTGACGACATATAAAATAAATGGACGGATAAACAGTTTCGCGAAGCTGATCTTTCTGACTACCTTACATACTTTCGCTGTTCAAAAAAAATTTTTGAGACCCTGTAGATTAAAATTTAAAAAAAGAATGAATACAAAAAATTCTTCTTTACATATGAAAGATTTGATTTTGTCACTGCTCTCGAAAATGCTGTTATTTTTGTCTTGCAAAAAAAAAATTGGAGATATGATAGTGTCATTGAGAAGTGCAACCGAAGAACAGTAATGTAATTTCCGCAAGGATATCCTCGTGTTGCTTACTCCGTATTCTCCTTACTCTACAGGTCCACTCGTTTGTTTATTCATCGAATTAGATATGAGCATTTCAAGAAAGAACTGAAAAATTTTATAAATACAAATTTCTTTTTTGAAAAGCGCATAGTCTTGGAGAGTGGTGTTTCTTATGTTTATCTCCCAGACTGCAATCAATTTTCGTCCAATTCTTTTTTATCAAATGCAAACAAAACAATGCAAGCTACCCACCTACAGCAAATTTTCTTTTTTTTCTATAATCTTCCTTCGACATATTTTAATTGCAACTCCCTTGTAAGCAAAATCAATTTAAAGCGAGCAAATGTGCATCGTTATTTGTGAAAATTCTCTTTTTTCTTTTTTTTTGTAAGGTAATAGTCTGCGTTGTTATCGTTTTTAGATAGATCTAGCCGCTGCGTACATGGAAGAGTGGTCAGTTTCATTCTAACGATAAGCTAATAACTCTTCAACATTTAATCTCGTAACCACAACAGTTTCTTTTGCTTTGCACCCACGTCAAAAAACTCCCCTCGAAAACCTGCTACAAGCTCAATAAGGCCTAAATTACAGTCTGACTTTTTCGTGCAGAGTCGAAACGAGAAAACATCCACATTACGTTAATGGCACTTGATATAAGCATTTGCAATAAGCATTAAACTTCATTGAACATTCTATTGTATGCTATTTCACTACATTGTGCGGGAGCCAGTCGGATACAAATCAGTCCTTACCAGTACACTGTTCTTATAATTAGATGAACGAGATTCTCAGTACAGAGTGAGCGTGGGGCCAAAACCATCCCTCAACTGTACTTCTAATCACCGCACCGCACTGTCCCTATATATTAGAAATCTAGTAGATTCGAACCACATTCCAAATGACCCTAAGGCAGTATCCAAGTAAATTTCAAAATCTGGACTTCTTATTCTGGGAGATTTCAATGAAGATAATTTCCAAACTTTCGCTCATTCAAATCTTTCGAGGAAAAATCATATTAAATTCTAGCTCATATTGCAATTTCCAAGCGGACCAGTCAGCTTATAACGTATTCTAAGGCGTTGACTGGTCCGCTAAAAAAGAGTGTGGCCTGAAAAAGTGGTTTGGATATGAAATTCTCCACATAAGATTCAAACGTACTCGAAATTGGATGAAGCCTTTGAATAAAATAGATTGACGCGTCCTAAATGTTGCAGGTTTGTCCACTTTTCTCTGTTAAATTTCTTTTTTCAGGGATGTCCCTCAGCTTCTCTTCGATCGCCTTAATTCTCGTACTCTTCATAACCAAAACCATCCAACAGCCCGTCATCAACCAACCATCAGTTGTCAACCAACAAGTGCTCACACCGTTCTTCCAACAACCGTTCAATCTCCCATTTCTGAGTCGACCACTCGTCAGTCAGCCTCTCTTTCGTGCCCCGACGTTCAGCGAACTTATCGCGGGTCAAGCCGCGAGTGGCGGTCAAGCCGCGCGGGCGCCGCAGTTCTTCGACCTCTTCGCAAGCCAACAAGCAGCGAACCAAGCCGCTGCGAGCCAAGGCGCCCGGGCGCCGCAGTTCTTCGACCTCTTCGCGAGCCAACAAGCTGCGAATCAAGCCGCTGCGAGCCAAGGCGCCCGGGCGCCGCAGTTCTTCGACCTCTTCGCGAGCCAACAAGCAGCAAACCAAGCTGCCTCGAACCAAGCCGTAGCGAACCAAGCCGCCGCGAACCAAGCTGCAAGTATAAACGCTGCGAACGCCGCGAATCAAGCCTCTGCAAGCCAAGCCGCCAGCGCCGGAGCTGCCGGGCAACCCATTGGCTTTAATGCTTACTGTACAACTTGCTTCAACAACTTATTTGGAATTGCCACTACCCAATCACCTCCGGTTACGGTAATGATCTTTTTATTGATTTGTGAGATCCATAATCTACTATTTACAGACAAATCTTCCCGACACACTCACCACCAAAAACATCTTCCAAAAAGCCGGCTGGGAGACCGACGATAAAGGCAATGTCTTTGTTGGAAGTGACGATTCGAAGCTTCTACTGATCTCCGTAGGTTCCTACTGGCCTTTCCCGAAAGATTACCGTAGGAGAAGACGATAAGAGAGTAACTTAATTATATTTGTTTCTACAGTGCATTATCAGTTTGTATTCATATCATTTTTGCTGCCAATCATAGTAATTTTCTTCTGCAATTTTGTTCAATATTGTGTAAAAGATATAAATTATCAAATATTTCCTTCAGCAACATGTACTGCTAAACAAAGTGATAAAAAGAACAGCAGGTTTTCCTGTAGATGCTGGTTATGATGTATTTTCCAGCCGTAGCGATGCGGCGCGAACATTTGCGAAGCGACTGCGCGTAATCCATTTTGGCCCAATCTGATTGGAACAGACCGTAAATTACGCCCCGTGCCTATATAATTCACGGCAACTCTTCAAATCAACAACAAAAATATCACATTTATTGTACATCACAGTTTCGATAACCAATGTGATTCAGGGACGAAGTTAGACAAAATGTGTGAAAAAATAAATTAGCTGAGGGGAAGAACAACAAAAAGCGATCGTCAAAAATCTGAATAGCATCTCTAGCTACACATGTCAAGACAATGTGATTGCAGCAAAGGCACCGAGGTTAAGGCTAGGCATTACGCAAAAGCCACATTATTTGACCACATATGTAATGCAAGCATAATTTACGATAATAAACTAATGAATTAGTAGTAACATAACAATTCCAACAACAAATGCAAGCATCAACAAGAGTTAGAAAATCACCAAGAACAGATCAATCCATTAGAATAAAGTATTTCTTTGCACTTCGTAACCTGCACATGCTAACACTCCGACGTATTTCTTAGCATCAAAGCATAATTTGAGAAAGTAGAGTTTTACTTCCTCGTCCATGAATCAGAAAAATATCAGAACGCAAATATATAGCAATTATTGCATGTTGGTTGATTTCTGGCTAACCTGTACATAATACGCTTATTCAAGCTCATACTATGGAATTCTGATCATATGTGATCAAGTCGGTACAGACGTAAAACTGGGAAAAAAGTTGATAATTGTGAGTGATACAAATATGTAGAAATCGAGATGGATATAAACCCTGATTGCAATGACCATCGAAAAAAGAAGATTACAAAGACATCAAGCGTAGTAGAAAATCTTCATAGGTTAAATTTGCCGTATATTTTTTGGCAAATTCAATGATAGCTTGCCTCCTTTTAACGTGCGTGAACTGATAACTAAAAAACACATTGATGACGAAGAACATTAGGCTTCTCGAGAAGATAATAAAATGATAATAACTCTAGACTCACTTATCCATCTCGGCTACATTACGTCTAACGATGTTCAGTACCGTAAGTCGTACAAAAGACGGAAGGGATGGTAAGGATACGGCCATAGAATCACACAACGGTCCCACTTCACCAAACCTCAAAGGAAAACTCTTTTGACAATCACATACCATAAGAATTATCAAGACTAAACTTATTCAAAAAACGGAACACTAAATTTTGTGGGAAAAATCACACCTGTTCGTTGATCCTTTTGTACGAATATGGACCAAACCTGGTTCAACCTGATGTATGAATATTACCAAATGTGCTATTCTTTCAACTCCAGACGCAGACGGTTTTTCTCCTCCATCATCACACGCACTAAGTAGCTCATCTGAAATTACAGTTCAAAAATAAACAAAACAAAGGCACAAGTCAGACAATGAATGATGAACATGGCAGGAACTTCAGAAATTGTAAGAAAAAGTTTCAATTACCTTAACTCAAAGTTTTCGTTACAAATTTAAATACCCTGGCCTATTTAAAAACTGTTTGAGGCTGGTAAGTCCATGATAAAGCAACAGCTCATACGACGAGGAAATCAACTTTGAACTTCAGCCCCGACTGCACTCTCTACCGTACCCAAGAACGCTAATCGGCCAGCTGAGAAGGTGTAGTCTGGGGATTTAGAATTGTATTTCTTAAACAGGGAAAATCTATAAAATGCACTATGCGAACCCTCAGGCAAAAAACAAAACAAAATTTTTCTATCTATGAATGTAAGAAAATACTTGAAGAATGGAACCAATAACCCTTCAAATATAAAACTAAACAAAACGGTGGATGCTCACCAACAGGGAAATGCAACATGTCCTCGGCTCTTTCTAGCCACACAACCATTACTCGCAAATTCGAGCTTCTTCTTGATGGTGGCGCGTTGCCCATGCTTGAACCACCTCCACCATAAGATAGGAGACCATCGCGTTCACTTCCTGTCGTCGAGGTGCCTCTTTTGCGTCCAGCATCAGGGAACACCTCCGAGTGTCTATGAAACCGATAATTATTTTGTTAGCAGCAAAGAAAAACCTTGCTTACGATGCCGAATCAGCTTTAGCTTCGTCAGATGAGACAGACAACGCTGAAGGTGTCTTGCTGGAGCCACCTATAAAAAAAAAATTCCATGAAATTCATAGTCCAAACTTGGCCATGCGGAAAATTACGTCTAGAACTAGTTGCCGGCGATGCCAGATCCTGTTTGAACACTCGTAAGCTGCGTTCGGTAGGAAGAACAAATGCTAATTCATATCCTGCACCTGCCCACCATAGCGAATGTGTTACACCATCAAGTATGTAATGATCGACGGCGTCGGATTCTTCCAGAGGTTCTGCAAGAAAAGGAATCTACTACATCAGCTTGCAACGATTAAGAAAAATACAAAAAAAGATCTGAAGGGCAGATTTTCTTAATTTTCAACAGCGCGATGGAGCTTAGGACCAAAAAACCGAATTGCCACAAACATCATACTCACTTCGTTCACTGCTAAACGCCGTTGACCAGTGGCCGGTCCATGAGTCGTGCAGACCAATCTCAATGCCTTCACCTAACTCTGACAAAAAACCGCAAAATTCTGGCCTTGTATTATGTACATTGAGCTGAAATTAGAAGATAAATGAGAATTCCTATAATCAAGAATTGAAGATTTGAAGTGTAAAGACGATGAAATAGCTATCTCTACCGCATTATCCAAAATATCAACAGCGGATCGCTGGCCTTCTTTTACATAAAATATGAACGCAGTATGCAAAGCTCGTGGTGGAGCGCTATCCACAGCTTCGTGCAAATCACGATAGAAGTCAGCACTAAAGATGTAAATATCAAATAAACTTCAAAATTTATACATATATGTCCTAAACAGGAAACTGACGAACCTTTGACCGCTGTCCAAACAAATGATGTCTTTACCAAATGCATCCCGATCCACGAGACCCATGTCATAAAGGAGAATTCGGACGGATTTGCATGTTGCAGGACTTCTAAAAAAGCATCCATAAAAGTACAGGAAAGAAATGCTCATAAATTCGCAAACTTTCGATCAAGTCTGAACCAGTTTTAGCACAAAAAAGAAAGCACTGGATCTGTCTAGCATTCACATTACAAAAGAGATAAATTATGAATTCAAGAAAAAAAGATAGATATGAAAGATAAATTCAATGAAGTAATGGAAAAGCAAGAAATAACTCACAAAGCTGGCTTCACACGTCTTTCTTCGGTACTCAACATCGTCCATCGGTTCCGTTCACGTCGAGCTTTTTCTTCTGGTTTCTCAGCATCAATCTTTCGAAGTTCATCTTCAATCACATCTGTCTCTTTTATGCGCTCCAATGGTCTCACAGACGTGTCACTGAACGTATACATGCAGAGGTAAATCAGAAACGAAAAGCTGAGCAAAAAAAAACACTTACAGTTTACAGGTGACCTTGTAGAATTCCGGAGGTATATCAAAGAACTGCCCTATTGCAGCATCAGCAGGTGGTTGCGCATGTGGAATCTTAGCACCTTGCGTTAATTGAGGTGCAGACGCAGTTGACCTCGTTGAGCGAGTCTCTGTAACATCTCGGTTACAACCTAGAAGAAACTGTTATTTAGAAATTCACAAACTCAGCTCAAACTACTAACCAGACGAAGCAGCTGGTGAGACAGCGAGAGTTCGACTTGATTCCACGCTGGCGGTTGAGACACCACTCACGGAGCCTGCAGCCACCGAGCGATTTGTTGCTACACTGGATAAGGTGGTCGACGACGCACCACTTGTAACGGACGCTGCTGCAACGGTATTTTATGAAGAAGAAAGAGTAAGAAGAAAGAGAAAAAGGCTATGTCCTAACTGTAGAAAAACAACAAGGAAAAACGCATAATATACAAAATCCGGTCAAGCATTGAACACATACGCAAAAACTCGGAAATCAGTGATGGGAAAGAGCGAAGGGAGGAGACAAAGGTCGCAGTAACCAATTGCGGCTTCCATGTTTTTGTCGTTCCGGGGCCTTCTCATGTCCCTGATTCCAAATATCAAGTCGAGAATCCGCGAAAACCCCGACAAACCCCGTTTCGGAGAATCCGGCGAGTTGTGTGGGACGGTGATTGGTTAGGTGCTCAAATGGGCAGGACGAACGTCACGCCCACTCAAAGGGGAGGAGTCAACGTGGCGAATCCGTCATCCAAAGCGATTTTTGAAGCAATTTCCTCGCTTCGGAAACAACTTCTGGCAGCGCGAGTTGGGCTAGTATACAGCTGTGCCCCCAGCCTGGGGGCCACACTACAGTTAGGCATCAAAATCTCATCGACCACATTTTGGGTGGACGGTGCCTTTAGACGCGCATGCACTAACATATCCGCTACGGAGGCGATCACAACACAAAAGAAACCTTCATCTCCTGAAGCTTCACATACGTGGATTTCACGCTGTCTACTACCCAAAATGTTCTCACCATCCTTTCCTATGAACATAGTGACAGGAGCGAGAAGATGTACAAGCCCGCATTTTCTAGCATTTTGCATGACTTCTGTTGATCCCCGGCGGCCGACCGTCTTTTCTTCAAAGTCAATTTTCTTCCTTCGAAGTCAACGAAAACCTTCCATAGTTGCACTGACTATCTAACTCAACAGTGCTATGCATGTTGCTGATAACAACAGATGAGTTTTTGGAATATCGATTTTTCGATAAACCCCAACTAAACCCTTCGACTTGTGTTCATCTCAATTTTATGACTTCGAAACATCACTCGTTCTTAGCAGAAACATGATTAGCAGTGTTGGGTGAGATGAAGCACAACTTTGGAAGTTTTTATCAACTCAAAAAAATGACCAAAGAAAAAACGGTCGGCAGCTGGGGATCATCAGGGCATCATACAAAAAAACTGGAAAATGCGGCTTTTACAGCTTTTTGCCAAACTTCAATATGTTCATAGTGAAGGATGGTGGGAATACTTACGGATAGGTAAACAGCGTGAAATCCACATATCTGGAGCTTCAGGGGATGAAGCTTTCTTTCAAGCTGCGATCCCCTCCCCAGCGGGATTGTTAGTGCATGCGAAGTAGTGGGCAATCTTTTGCTTTCCCTTTTTGATTTTCTGAGCCAACTAGCCATGCAAATACATGTAAATAAAACTCAAAATCTATAAGGTTCCGGTTAATTCGTTTATGTTCTATAGAAACGCCGGCGGTTGAACCGATGGAGCTGAAATTTTGCATACACATGTTCTCGACCCTGCGCAAATTACAGGCTATTCCCGTTTAATGGGCCCTATATCGATTTGTTGATTTGTTTACGTATTTCTAAGGAGCTAAGGCTATCATGCCTTAACCAAGCATTTTCCGATTCATGTAAACGAGGGGGAGGGGGATAAAGCTCATTTCAGGCTCAGCATCATGAGGATGCCGGTAAGTCGCGCTGGTTGTCGGGAGGTAAAAGGGGAGGGGGGCGGGGGAGGGAGGGAAGACTTGCAGCGCAGTAACCATGCTAACGGCAAATATGGCATGTACCATCCCCAGTGAACAGTGGCCCGAGTTGAGCAGGGAAAGAAAGTCATTACCAAATAAGCCTCGAAACACGTATAAGTCCTGCAAGATTTGTCAGCTCGAAGAGAAGAACCCCGGACAAGACCCTAACTGGGTCGTAATAGATAGCCCCAGACAAGTATAACATCTGTATTTCTCATTTAAAAAATGGGAATGCACGACATGTCATGCTGCATTTATGGGTGAGCGGGCTGCGGACTTGAGGGGGACTTGGAAGTTCTTCACAGCATCTTGGGATCAGCATTTCTATCACTGCGAGATCCCCACACACTTATGCTGGTAACCTCCTTGTGAAGCATATAAATGCAAAAAATAGAACTTGTAATAACAAAATAAGTTGAAAATCGAACAATGAGCTGCAATCAGCAAAAATAGCACTCACCAGCAGATGACGTCATAGATGCCGCATCCGATGGCTTAGCGGAGAGCTCTTTCTTGACTGAAAACTGCTCAATTACACTTGCCTCGATCCCAAAAATCCACTTCTCGTCTTTATACTCACCCTGCTCAAACTTGTTCGGCATTGGAGTAGGTGGTGGCTGCTGCTCAGGATGATAACCTTCAGGATGCGGTCGCAATCGTGCCACACCGGCTATAGCTGGCTGCAATATCGAACGCCTTACATAGATTACACACGGGCATCCTGAAAAAAAAATGATAGAAACAATTTTTATAGGAAAAATTATATACCATTAGCCAATTCAGGTATATGTGAAGCTTCATGCAACGACAGCAATACCTCCCCGTTTACCAACACATGCAGGAACTTAGTGGTGTCAATGGCAGCTGGTCCATATAGGTAAAGGAGTCGACGTTCATCACATATAGCTTGACCACTTCGACCCTGAGCACAAAATCAGATTTTATAACTGAAAGCCAAAACAAGAAAATTTGGAAAGAAGTCTAATGATGGCATACTCACCACTACAAAAAACAAGTTATACAATAAGTATTCGGCCGCATCGAAGGCGCGTTTACTTGATGCTTTAGAGTCTTCAGGAAAAGCCTGCATATAAGGAGTGCAATAGAATATAATCAGCTCGTACAAACTAACGTGAGGACGCACTTCTTTCTTCTTCGAACCCGTCACTCCTAACTGTATAACTTCACCTACTGTATTAAGTATACTTTCACACTCAGCCAAGAGTGGAGCGGCATTCAACCATACTGCTATGGAACCATAAGCTGCGACGATCTAAAAATTACCGAGTAGTCAGTGAGTGAACTGATTGGCGGCTGATCCTTCGTTTGCATTGTACTGATGCAAATTTGCCGCCAGATATGGGGGCGCAAGTGAAAAAGCCGCTCAAGGAATTAAAGCGGTCCGGAGGCTAAAAAAGTACTCATTTCCGCTCCCCCCCCCCCCTCAGGAGGGTCGCGTAAATTCAGCTGGTATAGAAATTTGCAAGGGACGTGTGCTTACTTGTGACTGGAATAACATTGCATTCGTTAGAAGAATTCAAACTACGGACGAAAATTTTGTAAAGCAAGATTTTTCCAAAGAAAATTTTCATTCGAAAGAAAACTTGGAAAAATCCCCCCTCCCCTTCCTCATACCAATGAAAACTTCTCGGATCGCCACTAATATGTGAGTATCATAGGGACGCCACTTTGACTGCGCACCTATTCTCACGGAAAGTGTAAAGGTTTCATTGAATGCAAAAAGGAAAAGCATGGAAAGAATGAGAACTCATGGGATGCTATTAGGCTCAAAGTATTAGGGTGAACGGTAAAAAATGGGACACCTTGAGGATAATTTAGATTTCTCAAGAAAGAAAAGTGATTGAACTTTCTTATTGTGATAGATATTAGAATATGTTATTTTCCTTAGATAGTACCTATATAAGGTCGTTTACATACCTAATAACTCTTATACTTGCCGAAAAGCAAAGTTAATCACTTCGACAAATTATGAACTTGTAGAAGCTGTCCCATTTTCACCGTTCACCCTAATATATCACATCGGTGAGATGGGAAATGATTACTGAAAAAAAGAGAGACTGAGGCGATGGCAGTGACGTCCCGAGAAATCTTCGTCGTGAATGAGAAGTGTCAATCTATCTCTATATAAAGAATTGTGCCCATCTGTATCTATCTGTATATAAAGAATCGTTGTGCCCATCCAAAAAAGGTGAAATTGCGGGAAACTGCGCGGCTTCGGCAGCGAAGGCTCCTGCAAATCTAGCACCTTTGAATTACTGGTTCACTGGTTCAAAATAACTTTCAGCTTCCGAAAGTTTGTGGAGTCATGGCATGGAATTTTGAGGAAAAAAAGGGGGGGGGAGGCACCGCCGCCATGCCCTCAGATTCTAGCTAGCTAGAACACATTGACGGCCGAGCCTTGAACCACACAAAAATGGATTCAATATCTAATTCTGCGGTTTAGACTCCTGAGCAGCTACCGCGATGCCCTGTATATGACAACCAGACCACCAGTATTATTACTGCACAAGTTATCTCAAACTTTTCGTTTACACATGAAAAAAGTGACGCACGAAGGTGCTAAACGGAAGCCAGAGCATGCATAAGCGCGTATGCAGGATGTCAACGTGCCTGCCAAAACCGAACATCTCGAAATTTTGACAAGGAAAGTTGCTTTCACCCCAAACACGAGAATAGAGCAGGTCCGAGCGCACAGCACGCTGCCCTTGCCTAGAAAACTGCCCCTAAACCCGTTACGCGCGAGCCTAATACGCGCGGACGAGATTGCGATTCCTCCTAACCCTCAGAGAAGGCATGCCGCAATGTAATGCGAGGGTCCGGCTACAATTCTGGCTCTCTAACCATGCTCCACTCGTTCAGATTTAAGATGAGAGCCCTTAAATGGTGGTTTTTGCCATTTTCGCGCTCTTCAAGGTGGATGTTTGGATTCAGCGCCTCGAATTACCCCAGGTAAGCTATAAAAACTTCAAGTCGAGATTCTGCCGAGCCGCTGCCTGTAAATTCAACATACAGTTAACTATCTCAATTCCGTTAACAAATAGAAGTAGTAAGACTTTAGAAGCAGTCAAAACCACTACTTACAGTGGAATGCAGATCCTTAGAATGGCACGGAGGTGGTTTATGCAATTGCGTGTCGATAAATCGACAAAGCGAAGCAACTATGAGAGATCCGGTAGAAACATCTTCTGTAAAACATTTGATGTCATTTTTGCTTGCAAAAAAAAAGTTAAGTGGATCTCAAAAATGACAAACTCACTATCTTTGAACAAAACTGTGGGATTTAATTGTGAGAAACAGTTCAGCACATCTATAGCAGCCAACGATACCGAATGTTCATTAGTCCATTCAGGGCGACATAGTCGATCACATATAGCTGATACCATCCCTCTTACGAAGGAAACACATAGTCCTGCAGAAAACGAAAGCATGAAAAAGTCAACGTAACCTCGGTAAAAATTATACCTTTTTCCGGTGTTTGATGTTGTCCATGCTGCTGTGATGTCATTTTAATCATTTCCGCTGTTTGCTCTTCAGTTAAGCCGAGATCAAATGCACAGCTTTCTTCCACAAAGACAGTGCACATAGCTAAAAGCCTTTTTCAAAATCACTTACATTCAGGACAGCGCATGAAAACTGATTATTCAAAAAAATCTCTAACATAACGTCAAATGCAAATTGGCCGGATCAGTTTCATGTCTTAAATTGAAGACCAAAGTCTTATAGATTCTCGGCCGCAGTTGCAGATATGTGGTAGCGGATGACTTCAAATTGGCACTTTCCATCAACTCTAGAATGCGATGGTGATAGATGGTGAGATTGATTTCTACAATGTACTAAATGCAGGCACTCACGCGGTATTTTACTCATCCCGAAGGTCGTCGGCCAGCAGATAACAGAGGAGAGTATCCGAAGGCATGCTCGCCGCATATCCACTTCAGGAATGGATGGATGCAATCTGTAATAAGGTGCGAATGCTGGCCAAAAGATATTGACAACAATAGATACAATAGATACAAGATACGATCTATCTTAAGGTAAACAATGTGCAAAAAATCACTCTTACCTGAGCTTAGAGCTCTCTATAAGGATTATATCCAATGCATATAGATAATGGGGTAAAATTGCTTCAACACCATAGAGTCCCAATCGAAACAGATTTTGCCCATAGAAGAATAACGAACAGAGAACAAGCCGATCCTTCTGGAACAGCATGGTTTTTAGTGTTCTTATACTATACTGACACGTCAGTAAGGCAGTGGAAAATGAGATAAAGCATTTGGACGATCGAACAATTCATGCAAAGTGTCATGTATGCAAAAGTATGAACATGGATTGCCCTCAGATAATCAGCGAAAACTTTAGGCAATTGTTTGAATTTTCAGAATTTATGGGCGTGGCGCGAGCGACCACTCAACCAATGGGCGCAAGATGGATGAATATGGTAGCAGAATTCCAAACAGACTGATATTTCAGCTGATTGCCTGCACGCAGAAGGAGAGGAAAACTTGGGTTTTTTTACAATTTCTGGAAGTTTCTACACATAACAAAAGACCTATCCAAATTACTCAAAGGTAGGTAACTCAAAAACCAAAGGTCCAACTAAAAATTGCTTTTGTAAGTACTAAGAGTATACTTAGCGGCTCACCTCTATTAGCGCATCATGTACAGTCGCCAAAAATTTGCCTAATTGTTCATTGGGTAGCTTCTCATTGGTTCGTTTCGAACAGATTATCCTTGTAAGTGTGGCTATGGCCGCAGCTCGACCAGCTGAAACGCCGTCGATGCCTTCTGTGACGCCAGGGCCAGCAAACACACTGCTGTTATTGTCACCCTTGAGAGAGTCACCCGTCATTGATGAGCATGAACTTGCTGAAAATAAGCCCTATAAGTGAAAAACAGTACTATGAAAATGTGAAATATACAGGGTGTCCCAAAAAATGTGAACACTGTTTGATCGTTGATAACTCCCTTGCTTTCATGTCTTTCGCAGAGCTTGAAGCACCATTGTGTAGAGCGAGGTTCAACTTAGATTTATAGTATAAATCGAATCACCGTTCTCTCTTCGTTACTGTAGGATTACAGTAAGAAATTCTAGCATGTGGAACCGTTGTGAAATATGACATCTCACAAATTTTTCAAAAAATCTGAAAAATCGTGTACTAGGGTTTTCGCGCACGCTGATTTTACTACACAACTTTCTACGAATGTTTTCAGCTTTTTTGACGGTGTAATCAAATTTTTGGACACGTGCTGGGAAGATGGTTATTAAAGTTTATCTGGGATAACTTTGAAAAGAAGCATCGTAGTAAAGTGGAAATTTTATATTCGAAATCAGCGGCTTCCATTACCATAGTACAAGAGATTTTGACTTGTTTGGCTCTGTTTCGAAACAGAAAATGGCCTTTAATGGCCTAAAATCCTTGTCAAATTTCCTACCGTAATCCTACAATGACGCAGAGCGAACGGTGACTCGATCCATACTATAAATCTAACTTGAACCTCGCCCTGCAGAATGGTGCCTCAATTGCGGTGAAAGACGTGAAAGCAGGGGAGTTATTAACGATCAAACAGTGTTCACATTTTTTGGGACACTCTGTATAAGTGATAATGGTTGAATGGTGATAGCAAAAGTTTGGAGTAATGGAAGGGGGAGGGGAGGGAGCTGGACATATCTGGGCAAAAAAGAGGCATGAAAATGTATCGCACAAGGATCTACCATCGAATTTGTGGAAGTTAAAAAAATTGGAAGCTGTTGAAATGAAACAACATTACCATCGAAAAGGAAAAGAATGGTACTCTCAAAATAAAAGCAGAAAGTCGGGGATGGGATGGGACGTAATGGGCGAGGTGAGGGTGAGGGTGGAGGAGACAGGAAAACCTCCGAAAAGCTTCATCGCTTCTTCTTTCTCCATATCGAAAAAAAATACTGCAGTGTCAAAATATCAAAGTTGTCTTTCTTCGACACAAACGTCAAAAAAAGAACAAAAAGAAAAATACATTGTATCCAAACTTTACTCACCAATACTTCGCCGCTTACCGGCGTTATTGCCAGCAATCATAGCCTCAGGCAATTCATCCAAATCCACCGAATGTAGCGACAAGCTGGCTATCACATCTGAATAAAGCAGATTTTTGAGACTTTTATGACATAAAGGCATCTCTCTGATAAATGATCTGCTAGTAGCAAACACTAAGCTTCACATCTGCATTTTGATTCCGTATCGGTCGCCTCAACAAGAAAAAAAACTCCCAGAACATTGCCTTGTTTGGGAGCAAATTTTGGTACTGAGGTGAATATTGATGAGGTAGCATAAGAGGTGTAATCATATTACTGATATTACGAGTGAGGAAACTCAGAGAACATTCAAGTCGTGCTATTTGCTAATAATCATAACATTTACTCAAAAAGTAGCATTTACTTATGTTTTCCACTGGTGTTATGCTTACCCCTGGATGACACTTGCCACTATCTTTCCAACCCTCACACTCAAATCACTGGCGAAAAACCAGTTTTTACCCTTTGAGGTCGTGGATTGTTGCGAAATAGAACATTTGTGATGCATACAACAAAGCTGTTGAATAGAGTCAAAAGCCTATCCAAGTTTGTCATCAAGACTATGGACGTAGGGGGATGGATATCTTGAACTGTTACCGCTAAGAAATGATGAATTTATGGTCGAAAAATCCAACATTAAAATCTCGCCCATGCCGTACTCTTTCTCAGAAACAATGGAAGTAATTCGCACTCTGAGAGACGATTTTTAGTCCGCTCAAGAAGTTTACGGTCTGATTGAGAATCAGTTGAGGTAATTGACTATAAATGAATCATACATGGTGGAACAGTATAAAACTCATCCGTAATGAAAATAGAAGGTTCTAGAAAGCAATGCAAGAGAAAGAGCATCGCGTTGAGTAGTTGAGCTGAACTGCAATAAGTAGCCAAAAAAATTTATCTACAATAGCATATTACGTCATGTTAATGGAATTCTATAAAGCGTAACAACCCAGAAACAAAATTCGCTTATTTCTGTGCATTAGGCCTTTTGAACATTATTTCAGCTCAAGGATCAAGGTAACAAAAACAGAAAAACTCTATTCTATCCGATAGTCCAGTTGAAAAACTGAGAGCACCGAAAATGAGGGCAAAATAGAGGGCAGCAAAAAAAGAGATGCGATTGGTACTGATTTAAATTAGAGATTGGAGTCACAAATCAAAATGTGAAACAAAAAGGAATTACAGATCAAACTCAAAGTTCATCAATACTAATTCTTGACATTGATTCCTAACCACACTCTTACGTATTTTATCGCCCAATAACCCTCTATCAACTAAGCAAATAGAATGCAGCGCTTCGCAATGACATCTCTCGAAAGCACATGAAGACGACAACTTTCACTTACAGACGTCACAGTTCTGTGTCGACTGAAATGGAATCCCATGGTACATCATTCTCGACGCCGAGGCACGATGATTCAACGATATTTATTCAGGTCGTTTGTGTCAAGCTTGGAGCATTCGAACAATAAACTGGATGGGATCATGTGCAAATAGGGATGCCACTAGCCGGGCGATCCACGTTTTGTACGCGAAAGAAATTAATAACAGCAGTGGATCTAGCAATTGCGCGGGGAACACTGACGTTGTGACGGGCGCGATCGGGGGGTAAGGTGGGGTGGATGGCTACACCAGCAAAAACCTATCGGGTAGAACCGGTTGGGGAGCTGCGTAGCGTATTATTCAATGCAAATAGGCTACCATTGTGCTCGTTCGGCACTACCTCCATGATGCGCGCGCAATCACTTCTACTCGATAAGCACATCGTATAACCAACCAGCAGAAAAGGTCATAAATGAGGAGATTATATGAGGGAATCCGAATTTTTTGGCTCGAATTCATGGAAGAGTTACCCAGTCTATAAAGAGTAACCTTTTAGACGAGCCATTGTACCGAAGTTCTACGATGACGGTTATTGTGCGACTATAGCGCAACTGAAGAATAGGAAATTACTAACCATTCAGTAAAGCGTCAAAGCTTGACTACAAAGAAGAAAAGAAGGAGAAGCCATAAGCATGAAAACGAACAGGCCTGATTTGATATTTGCCATTTCTTCCTTTCGATGGAGCAGATTTGCATAATGGAATAATCGAAATCGATTTTGGTTGCTGGCAAATCATTTGGACATTTCAAGTTGATTAGCATAAGAAGGGGTTTCAAGCACATCGATTTGATTGACATAAGCTCCATACGGTTTTATGTATTCACAAAACTACACGTGAGCCAGAAACGCTTTGCCATTAATATGAGCAACTGATCGGAGCTATACAAGGAGATGTCCAGCTTTCCATATAAAAATTAGAAATGCTAGAAAAGATAACACCGTCCAAACCAGACATTAAAGGCAGTGTCCGGGCAAAAACTCGATTCTGAGATTTTGTGCTTATAAGGGCCTATTCGCCATGCTGAATCCGAAAATCCACATTAGAAAGCGCGAAAACGGCGAAAAAGGGCTCTAATATAGGAGTGAAGTCAGCAGGTGGGCGGGGCTTTCCCCAGTACGATTTCACGCTCCCAGCTCCCGGAGCGATTTTCTCGATTCCGCTAGCCGTTCTAACATCGCTACCGGCCAAGTGCGAATGATTGACTTGAACCGGAAGCAAGAAGGTCGCTCCGGAAGCCGGGAACGTGAATTCGCAGTGGGGAGGACCCCGCCCACCTGCTCATTTCCCTCCTGTGTAGAGCCGTTTTTCGCTATTTTCGCGCTCTACAATGTGCATTTTCGGATTCAGCGTAGCAAATAAGCCCAAGTAAGCACGAAATCTCAAAATCGAGTTTTTGCCCGGACACTGCCTTTAAGCCTACCTATCTGCAGTCATCACACACAACTCACTGAATGGGTAATCATATAAGAGTTTAATTTAGCAAATCACGTTGTAACATCTTTCTTGGGCAAAATTCATATCCACAAGAAGTGTCTCGAATGACCACCTTTTCTTTTCAGACCCCACGACAACCACAAATTACCCCACCTACTAACATTAACATGAGCACATTCGGTATTTGAAGCAATCAATTATATGAGTTACCTTACAAGAAACATGTGAGACAACTTCCACCTTTTTACAAAAGGCAGGATGGACTGTAGAAATCAACAATGTCTAAACTGGGCACACAAAAGACCAAGTGACAATTGAAGAGAGTAGGTAGTCACAAAGCAGACTAAAAAGCATAGCAAAAACAACGCCAAGAAGAGGAGGCAAAAGGAAACTTCAGATTCAAACTGAAGAAAAGAAGCTAAAAATATTAGGTTGAACCGAAAGTTCTGTCCCTCCATTTTCAAAAATTCGTAACTTCGCCAGATTTCAACGGATTTGCTTGCTCGTAATTTTATTAGAAAGAATAGATCTTCCGCTTTCAAGCCCTGTTTTGCGGAGCTTCTGATTCACACTGAGTGCCGAGATAAAAATGGAAAACTAAGACCATGTAAACTTTGACCATTTTAAGTTAGGTCACCAAAAATCTGGAATGCTGCAGAAAAATCTGAAATCGTCAGTACATATGTTTTTTGGCCTACTCTTTGCAATTGTGAAGAGTTTGCGCTGTTTGGACGTCTCTGCGAGAAGTTATGATTTTCACGAAAATTGCCAAATTAATTAATTTTGGCGTTATCCATAGTAAACTCGATATTCATAACTTCTCACAGAGATGTCCAAACAACACAAACTTTTCACAGATGCAAAGGGTAGGCCAAAAAACATATGTACTGACGATTTCAGATTTTTCTGCAGCATTCCAGATTTTTGGTGACCTAACTTAAAATGGTCAAAGTTTACATGGTCTTAGTTTTTCATTTTTATCTCGGCACTCAGTGTGAATCAGAAGCTACGCAAAACAGGGCTTGAAAGCGGAAGATCTATTCTTTCTAATAAAATTACGAGCAAGCAAATCCGTTGAAATCTGGCGAAGTTACGAATTTTTGAAAATGGAGGGACAGAACTTTCGGTTCAACCTAATATTTAATAAGCTCTTTTCGATAACACATCGAAAACGGTCGGTGGGCATGACTGAGGGTTGATTTAACGCAGGCAAAATGGATTCTCATCTCTTATGCTGATTGACGCCCGTAATGGAACACCTACAGAGATAATGTGGTAAAACGCTGGGAAAATTGGGGCGATATTTCAATGACTTTAGAAGAGATGATGAAAAATAATTTCAACCAGTTTTTCTGGATTCTATTTCAAGAATTCAATTCTTCAGAATAAACAAAAAAATTTTAACCGATGAAATATGGGAAACTTTTATAAGCGCAAATTTTATGGCAAAAAGTACGATAATGCTTAAAAACCATCTTGCAAAATGTACACTTATGAGAAACCGAAATCATAATGACTGTATAATTTAACGAAACACCAAAATACCAAAAAACCGGGCTTAAATCTTGTGAAGAGAAATGATTCGTCAAGACGGTTACGATTGAAGTGAGTGAAGAAAGCTATGTATTGACATCCGAAATGTCCAAACAAATGCTCTCCTCTTGAATTTTTCTTGCGCATTTCGAAACTGCTTCATTCAATAGAATACCGAAATGCGTTCGTACAGCTGACTAAATGATGGAGTAAACTTATGACCTCTATTTTTCCAACTCTGCAAACAATATTTGCAAGCAATCTCGACGCGACATTAATATCCGACTATGTAAAGCCTCAGCTAGGAGAACAAATGCGATTTAGGAACCTGCTTATGTTTTTGTTCTGACATTTTGACGGGTATTTACATTGAACAACGGAAAAACTTTTCGAAGCACTCCACGAAATGCGGGACAAAGAACGAATAAATAAAGAGCCGGATGTACACCTCTAAGCATCTGACGAACCAGAAAGCTCTCGCACAGTTGAAGGTATGGACCGCTGCTTAAAAAATCGACAAAATATCAGCTCAGAAAAGGAAGAAACTTCCACTTTTTGCTTTGCTATAAGATTATGTATGCATTTGTCTGACATAATCGGTGATGAGTCATTATATTGAAATAAACTGGGAGTTCCAAAAAATTTGATAATGCCACGACGAAGAAGGAACAGTTCTGATGAGACTCGAAGAAGAACGTGCAAGAAAGA